CAACATAATCTTTCTAAAATAATTGAAAATATTCTAACACCAATTTCATGTCGGTCATAACAACTGTAATACAACTAACACAAACAGAGACACACACACAAAAAATCTGCACACGTGAATAAATCTGATCATTATTTAAAAAATTCAGAGAGCATCCCATTTAACAGAGCACCGTTTAATCATGCCTGTGTGAAGTTCACAGAAAAAGGCCCCCTACGCCGAGGAAGCATTTTAACAAGACCCGCTGTTAAACTGACAACGGTTCCACTGAGTACTGCTTCCTTCCAGTACCTCGGATTCCAACTAAAAATCAGGGAATGTGAAAATTAAAAGAGATTAACAAGGAACATATGCTAAAAAGGGAAAGAATCGCCTGCGGCTTTTTGCGGAGGGGATCTGAGTTGTGCTGCAAGACGGTTCTGTCACCTTCTGATAAGAAACCGAGACATAAAGAAGAGCACTGGAATGGAGAAGGGTAAAAACTGAAGTGCAGTTTGGAAATGACAAAGTAAAACACAAGGTAAAAAAAAAAAAAAAAAAATCAACTTGGAATGGGAAAAAAGCAGTTCTTTCAACATGTTGAAGCGTTTCAAGCTGAAATGGAACTGTGACCAGAGTTCGTTCAGCCTTTCTTGACTCTGTTCGCACAGCTGACGAGGTCCAGGTACCTCATTTCCACAAACACCCCACATCCTCCTCACCAGCGCTTCAGACAACACACACAATTCTTTTTTTTTTTTTTCCTCCTGGTGTGAAAAAAAGCTGTCTAACCTTTCAGCACCAGCTTATTAATATGCGTCATCGCTAAAAGGCAAGAAGTGAAAATGTCTCATTTAAATTTTTCAACGTGGAGGAGATGGATGTGGGCTTCCATTAAAGGCACCTTTCTCTTCTTTATAAACACACAAGTACACGCTCGCCATCGTACGTACAACCCCTGGCAGAGTTCCACGCAGCGACGCAGGACTCAGTGATTAAAAGGGTGGCAGTGAATCTCAATCTGAGCACGTTCTTAGCAAAGCTGACATTTCGACTCTTTGCTCCTCTCCTCTCTGCTCCTGCTTCTTCAGTGAAGTGCTAAGTGGCTATTGGAATATCTGAGGTTTCTCTCTTTTTGTCTGTTATTCCTTCATATTTCTACAGTTTTCTTTCAGTTTTTACTTGTAAAATTTCTTGACCTCTGACCTCGTTTCTTTTAGCAGCTGCTCTGTCCTCGTTTGGGGCTTAGACATTTTGAAGCTAAGTCGTGCTAAAAGAAAAAGGTAATTCTGTGAAAGTGGAAGCAGATTTGTCTATACATGTAGTCATTTCATACCCCCAAAAAACCAAAAGCAATTCTATACTTTATACTTTATATTTGCCATTTCAAACTGTCGTGTTCACAAAAGTAGATATGAGTTAAACTGTTGAACATTAAAAGTAATAGGAAACCTTTTTTTGTTTTATTACAACTGGAATTACTGTGTGAGTAAAGAATTGATAAAGCTTGACTGTTTGCATATTTAAATTGAATTACTCAAGTGTATAGAACTAGAATTTTATTATATTTATGGTGTTGATTTTTGAAGATAACTAATACCCTAACAACTCAGGCTTGATGATAAGAGTAAGACGTTACAAGTTTCATGACTACTTTGAAGAAACGCTTTGGCGATGGAAAGGAAGACTTTTCCAGACTGACAGAGCCATCTCCTCAGAGAACCACATCAGGACAAGAAAGGGAAATGAATGAAGCGTCCAACTTGTGCCGTTGTCTTTAGAAGGACCATTGCCAAAGCTCCACAGTGGATAAAAATATCTATGGAGAAGGATGGACTGTATGTACAAGTACACCATTTACAATTTTAATAAAAAAATAGAGTGAACATCCACTATTTTCTTGCTGTGGTATTGTTGAACAGTGTGGAATTGATTAAAGTATAACTAAAATATTTTAAAGCTGCTGTTTATTCTCATAAACCATGATGTCCTCGAGTTCTTACAATTTTAGTGTGGATGTGAAAGGCTTGTTTCCAGTCGCAAGGTTTGACCCAAACAGTAGTTAGGTTTAGCAGGCAATTACGTTTGCCTGCTATGTAATTGCAGGCAAATGCAATTACCTGCAAGCAATTGGTTTGGATAGACCAGACTGGTTTGAGTAGGCTTTCTTCTCTTTATAAAAAGAAATAATTATTTAAAAAAAAAAAAGTACTGCATTTATATTGTTAGTCTGATATTCCAATCTTCTGATAAGCTGAAATATTTTGGATGCAAAACAAGTAAAAATCGTAAAACAAGAGACCGTTCCATTTAGATGTCAATAAGAAAAACACCTAAATATCTAATGAATAGATTTAGCATGATTTAGCTTCAAAATGTCTAAGCCTTAAAGTAGGACAGAGCAGCTGGTAAAAGAAACGAGGTAAGAGGTCACGAAATTTTACAAGTAAAAGCTGAACGAAAACAGTAGAAAGTGTGCATGTGGGAGCTTGTTTTCCAGCTTGGCTAACACTGAGTAGAAATGATAATGAATGAGATTCCTGGTGTCTCCTGAAGACCTCAGATAACTTGTCAATACTCATTAGACTCTGAAAAAGTGATAAATGATGAAGTTTATAAAGATTAGAGTCCATGAAGCTGAAGTCAGATATGGTATTTAAAAATTGAGGAAATTCAAGGAAAGGGTTACACTTTGAAGGAGTGAGCAACCACTAAAGATCATTCGGGAAAAAAAAAAAAGAAAAGAAGCGTAATGTCTGAAAGGTTACAAATGAAAACAGAGTAATCGTTTAGCAACTGGGCCCATCACATATCGACTAATGTTAGCATTTGTGAGTGTTTATTAGAAGTGCTGTCCTCGCCCACAGCACTCACTGCACTCTCTTTGGACGATCTCTTAACCGCAGTGGCAGGCTCACTCTGCTGCAGCTCTTTTATCTGGTGTCTCTCAGCTCTAAATATTGTCTGTCAGCTTTATAGACATTAGACAATCTGCATAAACAATTTTATTTTGCATTTCTAGATTAATAGAGGAGTGCGATGCACATTTTATTTACTTTACCAACTTTAATTTATTGAGCATTAGATTCAAGGTAACGGTCCAAGTCTGACGGAAATCTCCACAACTTCCTTTAAAGCCTTTCTCACTCTTGTGTCTGTTTTAAAGATAGTCTAATATGTATATATTTTTTTATCTGGTTTTGTAAGTATTCATTTTATTCAACAGCTTTCATAAATTTAAGCTGTGATATGATAGATTTACTATCATTGTATACAGCAATATATTTTCAGCATTTATATGTATCAAGTTTTATGGGGAGTTTTTTCCATTACAGTTTGCATTGTGCTACAAAAATGTCAACCTACTGATATATGGTACAACCACTCAATCCAAGCTTGGACTTCTTCTGCATGAATTATTGTATCAAAACATGAAAGTGATCAGCATGTGGCAGCGTTAAGGTCTTAAGGTTTTTTTAAGCCTGGGAACCTTAAATAGCTACCTTTAGCTCGTCTGCGTGGTGAATCCAGAGAATCCAACCCCATTGATTACTACTGATACTTAGGTCTGGTCACTTTGTTGTCCAATCAACCATAGGGATGCGGTTGTAATTAGATCAAGTATTGGACTTTGGACAGGTCTCGATTTCACACTGGACAGTAAATGTAGCATCTCCATAAAGCTTTTGGCAAAGGGAAGCATGAAGTGCTCTAGGATTTTCTTGTGAATAGTTGCCCAGACTTTCGACTTTAGGAAACACAATATAGACAGATGCCAACAGATGACATGGCACCCCACACCATAACTAACTGTGGAAACTTCACACTGGATATTAAGCAACATAGATTCCCTCTCCAATCTCTGGCACCTTGATTTTCAAAATTCAATACAAAAAACAAGGAAAACTGAAAAAAGGGCATTGGACTATTGAGATAGATTTCATGAGTCCAGTCCTTTTTCAAAATAGCCTATCAGTAAGACTGTTTGGACATTGTTGTAGCCGAAGTCTACATCTGTGTGCGGAGACTCTTAAAGAGTCTTTTTCACAAAACATTTCATGATAGAAATGTTTTGTGAAAAAAACCTGTTAATCAAGCTTCCTTTGAGCTCACTCTGGCAATTCACAAATCACAAGGAACAGATGTGAGCTTTCAGAAATGAAGTCAGCAGTGTGGGACAGCAGGGGATGACAGGAGTAGCACTAGAGATAAAACACATGTGGAGAGTCTCCCATTGCCTTTCTTATTAAAAAATAATGGCAAACAAACTCAGTGATCCTGCTATTGGATGAGCAATGCTTCAAATTGATATTAATTTGTCCATCCCTCACTTGTGTTAGCAGAAATTATTTATAATCCTTGTTTAAGCCTTTAAACTTTGCAGCTGACAGGTCTCACATGTTAGCAATGTTGTTTTAGAAAGTCACTCAGCACATCAGAGGTGTAACAGAGGAGGGCTGACCTCAACCCCCCTTCACTGTGTCAGTTCTTTCACGCAGAAACGGGAGAGAAGATAACTTTACAATGTTTTGAAATGTTTTGTGAAAGTCCAGTAGCCCCTTTCACAGCCATGCCTTATCAATCTACCCCAAATTTGCCTTACAATGCTCTCAAAGCTGCAATTTCCCTGTTGCCTGTGCACTGCTTTTCTACAACACCTTTTTTTCTTCAGTCTTCTAACAATGTGCATGAACATACCACTGTGACAAGTCAGCTACTAGAGGCCTTGTGTACCATACTGACCTTTTGGATGGTATCAGTGGGTTTCTACTGGACAACTCTCGGGTCAGCAATCTTCCTGATGCTTTTGTAGGCCATAACATGACCATAGCACAATACCTCTCAATTATGATGCCCTTTCTATTGGTGTCATGCATAGACAGGTGAAAACAAGTTGTTTTAAATAATGAATAGACAAAGTATAAAAATAGCCACCCCAACATTCTTTTTTCTTTTTCTATCCTTAACTTATTGTTGTAATAAGTTATTTAGTGTTATTTCAGTTATTCAGTGCGGTTCACATACAACCGCTAGGGGGCACTTGTCGCATTGATGGCAAAGAGAAGGTTGGGGACACAGAAGAAGAATAAACCTTCGCGTTAGATGCTAATGGAAGCTCAACATGAGCATCTCAGCCTTTCTATAATACAGGTCAGTAAAAATGTGCTTTGATGCATATTTATCGGTTACTTTTTAGAGTTAAGAGGCTATTGAATCGATTGTCACCAGTGAGTGACGTTTTGCAGTTTGTGATTAGTATTGTGTAGAAAACGGGGCACATTTCTGGAGACTAATTAATGCTAATGCTAGCGTACTGTGTTGAGCTGGCTGAGGAACGGCTGAAGGACTACGGAATTCACCTTGAACTTATTGTATTTTGCACTTTTCGGAACGATTCTCACACATAAGACATTGTTTTGATGTCTTTATTTATAAATTGGACATTTCTTTATTTTATTTCAAAAACCAGAGAAACCATATTCTTGCATTCAGTGAGTAATGGCTGTACTTGTGTGAAGCTTAGTGAAGAGACACAACATTAAAAGAACATTACACCTTTTTGAGTTTTGTAGATGGAGTACAGTTTGTGTAAGAGATACAATATTATTCTGTTGAAGCAATGGACACAATTGAAAGCTAAAATGTTTACATATTTAAGTATGTTTTATTTGTATATTCATAATTGTAATTGGAGCATGTCAAACAAATTCTCGTTCATTTTTGATGTACTGAATCTGATGGCTAGCTATTACAGTCACTTGGTGATACCTAAAAGTATTGTATATTTAATTCATTAGATGCTAGATGCTAATGGATGCTCAATGTGTGTGTCTCATCTCTTCTATATCACAGCATCACACGTTGAGAGAACAAAATTACCACATTACCCTCAGTCCATCCAAAGTTGCTGGGTAACACATGCAATGTTCATACTTTCTGTAAAATAGAATTTTCATTAGTATATGAACAAATTGCAAATGTTTTTTTTTTATTTATTTATTTTTTTTAGATCATGGTTTTTAAGCTTTGTGGAGTTTACATCTGGTGCAGAATTCCAGTGATGTGTGCACAGATTGAGAAAACCTCAGACGATAGAAACATTTTAATAGAGATTGCTCAATATATGATTTTTGTTTTTTGCATTTATTTAATCTGTTTCTTGCCGCCTTCATGTAGGATAATGGTTGGTAACAGCACATTTGCAAGAGCACAGCCTTTGTTAGAACATGTCAGACCCTGCTGGTAATGTTCTGCATAAATGACTTTTTTGTCTGCTCCACAGCCTGAGATCTCAGTCATTCTTTTGGACAGTTGACAGCTCACAGCTTTTACAATCAGACCAAACAACCACTTGCACAGCTTTCGTCAGCAGCACATCTGCGTCTAAGGGTCACTAATGACCTCTTGATACATGCCAGAGCTGGTGAGTGCACTACATTAGTGCTGCTTGACCTAAAAGCTGCATTCAAGCTTCTGACCGTGATATTCTTGTTGACAATCTAATCCATTCCATTAGCAATTGTGGTACAGCTTTGGATCGGTATTTAGCTGATATGTTCGGGTCGCATTATGCCTTGGGCTATTATGCTTTGTCACACTGACATGTTAAATATAGTAAACCACAGAAATTAGTGCTAAGCCCATTTTGTTGTCTGGTAATCATCGCTGTTGTTGCTTCCATTTTCCATGAGCTACATGATTTTTCATTTGCCAGTAAAATATCATTAACATTTTCACTGTGAAACCTCGCTGCAAGTAGCAAAATCAAATGAATACAAAATTCTTCAATTATTTAGAGTTTTATTGAATAAAAGTCAAGACTTAAATGTGGACCTTCATGTTTTTGGAAAATATGAAGGTGGCCATTCCAGCTATTCTGAACAGATGAGCGCCACAGGCCTCTAGTCCAGGCTTTTTTAAAGATATTGTTTTACAATGTAAAATTAGTAAAACTATTACCGCATTAGTTTTATCATAAAAAGTGTGGAGTGTGTGTTCTTACTACACACACTCCACACTTAAGATGTGTGAAAAGGCTTACTGGAAATGTATTTATTTTTTTTACAGATTCATGTGCTCACAATGGAAAATTTAGAAATATTCAACTGTTAATTTGATTACATTTTTTAAGTGAGGAGAGAATTTAAGAGTTTACAAAAATAGTTACTCTAGGTGCCATTCCTGTTGTTATTTGCACAGCTTCCTTTTTTGAGAATATGACAGCCCTTAGTCTTGTTATTTAATATAATATTTCTCAAGACTGGAGCATGCATATGCCTTTAGATCACCCAGCACTGGCTTCTCTCCTTTACTATTTCTGTTTTCCATTCGACTTAAGTGTGGTGATTGAGGTAAGAATAGCAGATGGATAATTTGTGTCTGGCGAAGCATCTCTGCATTTATTTATCTGCATGTTTGGATCATTATCCTGCTGAAAACACAATAAGGAACCACATTCCATTTTCTGTTCATGGTCAACAGGTTTTTATTTTAAATCTCCTCAGGTCTTCTGTACTTGTGTTAGTTTGTTACTAAAATCTGCCATATGTTGCAGTCAACAATACTTGGAAAAACAAATCCAGATGTATAAAACTGTGCTTACATATGGAGTAAAGCACATATCATTTTCACATGCATGAGGAATGGAGATGGGTTCTGCTGGAGGTTTCTTGCTGTGACAAGTTTTTCTGTCCGCTGCCACCTCATAAAACTCAGTGAGAGGGATTACTACAGTCATAAGGCTTGGTAAGTCCGATACTGAAAGTTTATGCTGGTTTACTATTTCCAAGCCTGCTTAAACCTCTGTTAATAAGAAATGTAATAAATGTCAAAATCAATTTATATAAGTTTTGTATGAATTTAACCCATGCTTGTGCTCCAAGATGTTAATGATGTTTGATATTAAGCTAACCATTGTTTGAATAAGGACCTGTCTGAAGCTGGATTCAGCTCAAGGACAGATACATTTATGTATTCATTTTTACTTCCGTATTCTATATTACAATTTCTTAATTTTAGATCATATTTATCATCTTTCCATAATTTCTTAATAGATATAATGCTTCCAATTACAAAAAAAAACAAAAAAACATGAAGTCGTTTATGCTCATGCTGAAATAGATAAATGACAAATGAAAACTTTAGATTGACATATTTTGACACACCAGCCTGAATACCCGCTGTCATCATTTATTTTTCAAAAGCTCAGTACTCTTCAATTATATCCTCTCACCTCGTCACTCCTCCCTCCACAGTTCCATCGACAAAGTCTTGTTCTGCTGTTGCCTAAAAAAAAAAAAGCTTATCCACTCTAATATGCAACTACTAAAGCTATAGATGAACATTTAGGCGGTAATTACAATTTGTTCTTGGGTTAATGATAGAGAGCTGCACCTGAGTGTTGAGCTAATGGTGTATGAGAGAAAATTTGTTGGTAAAAGTAATGCTGAGTAAAACTGTCAAACCGATTGGGAAATAAAGTTTAGCTGTAGAAATAAAGTCTTAAAACAACAAAAAACCCACCATGATGGAACCAAGTGTAGTGGGCATCCATAATGTGTTTTTCTTTGTATTTTTGTATCTTTCTGAATGTCGAATTGCTTTGGAGACTTTGAGATTTTTTTACATCCTGGTTTCGTAGCTGTCTTTTGGAGGGATTTTGTTGATATTTCTACAACTTTAAATGAAATATTTATTGATTTTGAATAGCCATTCTAACAACAGATTTCAAAGCCCAGCAAACATCAGAAATATGACCCCAGGTCCCTGACAGGTTATAGGGATGTGGTCAATGGAGAACAGAAGCTGAGCTAAGATCAACTAGTAGAAAACCGAACTACTTTTTCCCTGATTGCTTTAGGGAACGTGAGGTCATTGGCAGACAAAGTGGAAGATTTTGGAGCATGGACAATATTATAATGGGACTACAGGAAATGTTTAAAAAAGGGTTCTAATGAGACTTGTTTGCCGGAGCGTATCATGGACAGTGCTGTTCTTTCCAATATTTAAACTTTTTGGCTGCAGACACCTTGCCAAAATGATGCCGGAAGCTTTGCAATTCTTATTAACAGATGGTGTTACCCCCAATATGTTACCATGGGATGGCTGCAGCTCCATGATAGAGTGGTTGTCTGATGCTTCGAGGATTGAAGCTTCAGTGCCCTTTCCCTACTTCTGTTAAAATGTTCTTGGGCCGATTGAACAAATGAAGCGGTTGCAAATTTGCAACACAAAGTTGCTTAGGTAAAGAAAAACACAAGTGTAGATGTTTAGCTCAGTTTAAAATAACAGTGAACACACACCTGGATAATTAAGGGTAATGTTTGTTTTGAGCATTACAAATACCAGAGTCAAATCCTCCTATAAAAAATGTTCTTTGAATGAAGCCGATAAAGATCATAAATGTGAGCTAACTGTAAAACTTAAACGATTCGGCAACAGATTGCCATAAATCAGCGGCATAGTTGGTGGAAAATTAGACTCACCTGCAGACTTCTCCAGCACAGTGGGAAGCTATTCGGTAGTAAAACGGTGGGAAAGGAAAAGATAGGTAGATGATCAACTTGAGCCTAAGAATTCTTCCAAATTAATTTCTATGTAGCTGACAGTAAAAGTCAGTCTGGAGTAGCCATCGCAATGCCCCTATCTGGAAAAAAAATATAGAAACAAAAGATTGCCATGTGATTCCAAGAATAGTTGGATGCTATACAAGTTTTGCACAAGTGACAACTGATTTATTTATTAGTAGAAGATAAGACAATGTCTGAAACAATAGATGCCTTCTTTTCTACCAAACACACAGTTTTACTATTTTTGGGTTGTAATTTGATTTGTTTACTAAATTCAGTGAGCTGAGTCCTATATTTGGTCAGAACCTATTTTAGCACTCCGTTATATAAATGCAGCTCTTCATAATTTAATGTCAAAGTGATAATACTTACTAGAGTTTGCTGAATTTGATCAGACACATTGAGGCTGGGAGTGACAAATCCTGAGTAGAAGATTATTTAAAATAACATTTTTAACAAATGAAAGATTTGTTGTATGTGTGACTGACTACTTGTGTATATGTACCAATATTTATTTTGATTGGTTAAGTCTTAAATTTAGCAGGGTTTCTTTTTTATTCAGCTTAACTTGTTGATGCACATACACAATTTTGTTCATTTATAGAGCCCCCGTCAAACCAGAGCATATTCAATGTATGTTATTCACCATTAAATGTTTATGTTTTTAGTCTGCCTTTCTTGTCAATAACGTACTCACAGTTTTGCCTGTAACGATTGTTTATATCATTCATTTCATACACCAGCATGTCTGTCAGTGACTCAACATCCAACTTGTCCCTTTTTTTTTTTTTTGCTTCTTTTTTTTTCTGTCAGTCACCATGATGCTTCTCTTGACTTTTACCTCCTTGTTTTTGCCCTGCCTCCACTCCAGGGAGTTCAGCGAACACACAAGCGGGATCACAAATTATTAAACAACAGCCTGAACATCACAACACTTCGATAGACGAGGAGTGCTGTGCAACAGATCAACGAAGAGGAGGATTGTGTAACTTGCATGGGGATTAAAGACATGGTAAATCAGACAAGTGCTCTGAAGTTGAAGTTTTAATTTTCAGATTGTTTATATGTCATGTTTTTTTGTTTTCTTTTTTGGTAAAAAGAAAAGTACGAGTGTAAGTATAAGTGTTCGTGAACATACTGACTGACAGCACATTAGTGGGAGGCTTTAAATTTTAAATTCAGCCAGAATCCTCCCAGGCAATTAAAGGTTGTGTTCAGAGCCAAGAAGTCCAAATAAAATAACACACATGCATTCAGAAACAGTGCAGATGCATGCTTGCACACACACACAGGCACGCACACACCCTGAGGATGAGGTGAAGGTGGCAAAACCCTTCATATCGCAGTGTGACACTGCCTCTGACTCTGTTCATGTATCGATAGACACACCATGCACACACCCACACTCCAGTGTTTGGCTCACAGTGGAAACACACTACAACACACATCCTCATGGACTCAATAAATCACAGCTCTGGCTCTCTATGTCCAATTACTGTAAGTACCTGCAGGAAATATGTGCTGGACAACTTTGACAGTGTGCTACTGCTTCCTTGAAATCAAAAGTTGCGCGAGGAAGTTGTAAAATGTGTGTGATAAATTCAGCTGGCATTTGGTAAAATGTTCAGTGACCCTGTTTTCTTTTTCCCCATTAACTTTCCCACGAAGTCAGTTTAACTAATCACAGCCAAGGCCATGGACAGATGGACACTAGGAGATGGTAGAGCACCCGTCCTTTTTCCTAAGAACCAAAAATGTCCTCTTCTGAAATACCTTTTTCTTTAAGTGTATGGCCCAAGGCAGCATTTCTGGATTAAGAGCCTATATTTCCAGTGGCTCACGTTTTTGTAATTTTGACCGACAAGAATCTTCCACCTCTCCTCCCATGCCTTTTATCTCAAATACAAAAGTTAAAAATTTCACTTCCCTCAGTTTTGTCTAAACAAAAGCAGACGAATCAATTAGATACCCCTCCCCACTATTCATTCTGTGGCCGGCACTAGTCACCAGGAGATAGCTTAAAATGTTGCTCTTAGATTAAATTAGAAAATAAAAGTTATCCATGTGTCTCATAGATGTTGTTATGACATTTGCTTTAATTGGCCCTGATGACTTCTAGTTGAGTCACATTAAAAGCTAAACACTAATGAAAATAACTCAAGTAAAGCTCTCTAAAGTTAAAGTGGGGCATGCAGATTAAATTGTATTTTCTATTTGTGTATGTGTAGTAATTATGATGTGATGATTAGAGTATTTTTAATATATAAATAATATCCGAAGAAATCTTGTTGTTGTCACAGCTTATAGTTAATCTTATTAATGGTGAATGTCTAAGAAAAATTTCGTTCATATGTCTCCCTGACTTCATGCAGAGGTGTATGATTCTTCCTATGGCCGTGTACTATGCTGTTGGTTTCATTGTGAAGCTGGAGATTTGTACATGAGTACGCTAGGATAACGGAGGACTTAACTACTTTATCAGGAAGTAGTGGTAGCTTGTTTAACAATAGGACTAGTTGCATTAGTTTCTTGAGCGTTTTTCATTCATTTTGGTGAGCGCATGTAATATACTAGCATTGCACTTAAGTATATTACACTATGAAGATTTTGTAGCTCTTTTTCTAGAGTAGTTGATTAAAGCTGTAGTCTTTTGTTTAGATTTATGAAGATAACTCGATTAGTTTGATCTACCTGGTAGATTTTTCAGGGTAATTTGCTTTGCTACATTATATGCTGCAGAGGACATTTTGAGATAAAAGTGCAGGATGATGTAATGAAGACAAACATATGGTGCTCAGCATGTAAAAAATAAATGAGGGAAATGTAAGATTCAAATTTGACTCAAAGTTCAGCTTAATAGCTGGTTGTGAGTCAGAATTCCACCTTTTAATCAATCTATAATTGTGTTGTTTTATTAATCCTAAGAATTTTGTGAACTGCAATTAAAATTCAACCTTGTTTGGACTTTTTCTTCCAGGCAGATATCATCAAACATCAGGCACCACATGGTTGCAACGCAGTGCCTGAATCATGAACGTTGAAATTTGGAGCAACTCACCCTAGAAAAGAAGAAACACACGTTTTCTTAGAATCTAGGAAGAACCTTTTTCTTTTTCTGTTGGTCATAAACGTGTAGAGCCTTTGCCACAAGTCTTACGCCTGTGCCTGGGGTAAGAACATTTCAATTTCAATGAAAGTCCTTGTTTGTGTTTGATTGAATCTGAGTTGCACTGTGAGGTGATGCTTAGCTTAGCAATCAAGACCTTCAGTTTGAAACTCTGACTTTTCTGTGTAGATTTTGTGCCTCCTCCAGGCAGTCCACTTTTCTCTGATAGTTCAAAAACATACATCTAGGGTCAATTGGGTTTGTCAGCATAAGCATGCATAGCTATCTCTGTTTTGCAATTGAGCCTCTGATAGAGTGGTAACCTGAGACCCACCTCTTGGCTCTTGAAAGCTGGCATAGACTGTGCACAGAAAACAAGGGCTTTAGAGCATTTATTTAGACATCTGAACATTCCACAAACTTGATGCCTTATTAAATGAAAAATAGGGGCGTTTGCTTGGTTTAGTCTGAAGTGAAAATATCCATTGGGCAGAATTTGAAGGAGGAATGTACAAAACATTGAGTTTTGTCTAGAAGTAACCCACTCGCTCCTCTCATTCTTGTCTCTGACATATATAAACTCTTGATTTATCTTTGCATCTTTGTAGCATATTTGCATCCACAGTCATTTAGCCCACCTAATTCCTGAACATAATGAGCTAATGATGTCTTACCCAGCTCTTACTCTTCCTTTCTAGACAGGGAAATTTGATTCATGTTTGTTTTTGTTCTTATTTTTTTTAAAAGTCTGCATTGTAGAAATCAACAATTCAGTTTTATGGTTTTCTAACCATCAAACATATTCTTAAACCTGCCAAGACACAGACTTATTACTCTTCATTTATTGTACTCTATACATTCACCTTATATTTTCGCACTTTTGTCAAACGTTTGTGTGATAAATCTTCAAGTAATTTTGCAGTTTGACGTAGAACACAGCGTGGCAAACAAATTGATATTGATGTTCTTGGAAAATGGACTCAAAAACTGAACATTTTGGTCTGCATGCAAAAAACAAAGTTTGGATTAAAACTAACTCTGCACCTCATTGAAGCACACCATATCCATTGTGTAACATGGCAGTGGCAGTATAATACTTTGGAGATGTTTTTTTCTCTATCAGGGACTGGGAAGCTGATTTGAGTTGATGGGAACATGGATAAAGCTAAACAGACAACCATGGAAAAAAATAAAAAATCAGGGGCTCGAAATGACTGGAGTGCAGCAGATAATCACTTTCCAGGAAGAAAACTACATAATTATACAGCCAGAGTTACAACCAGGGGTTTTTTATCAAGGCATATTCATTTGTTAGCATGTCCCGGAAAAAGAATAGACCTAAGTTCAGTTTAGAAATTGTGGAAAGGTGGAAAATTGATGTTCACAACCTGAGTTTAGGTTATTTTAGCAAGCAATTATCTAGACAACCCAGACTACTTGCAGCCGATATTGAAGACAAAGGTGATATTGATTAATAAGGCCTGAATGGATATGTATTTGAAAATGTGTCATGTTTCCTTTACTTCACAATTAGAAGTTAGTTGGTCTGTTGCATAACATCCCAATAAATTATACTGAAGATTGTGGTTACAACATGTCAGAATACTGAAAAGTTTAAGAGGAATAAAGACTTTTCACCGGCACTTAAATTATGTATGTATTATGTTTAGTGTTTTGGTTTTTTTTAGCAACCAGCAGCTACAAAATCTATCTATAAGATGGTAAAATCCTATTTTATGTAATTGTTGTTCTCCTTTATGCATCACCAGTGATGAAGTAATTTAAAAATGTTTGTCAAAGTGGGATAACAATCACATTCATTCATTCTTTGATATACAAAGGTTTTATTTTAAACCATGACATGTGAAAGTCGTATATATTAAGCATAGAAATGAAATGACACATTTTAAGTTACAGGAATTTAATAGCGTTTCACTAGAATTAAACTTTTCCATTTTATGACAGACATGCAAAAAAATAATAAAGAAAAGGAACGACGTGTTTTCCCAGCACTCATCCTTGGAAATTTTAGTTTGGTTGCTACCCCAGTAAAAAGGAGTTTACGTGAGAAACTTGTGAGTGTATATCCGGCTTCCATCACTGTATAAACATTTATCACCACTCTTGAGGTATGAGAGTGGATGAAGACCTAAATGAATAAGATTGAGAAAGTAAACAGGTGAATGAGTGAGCGAGCAGCTGACTAATCAAGTGAGGGAATGAGTAGGTAAGTGGCTATGCAGCTGACTGATTAAGCCACAAAGCACTTAAGCCTACAAACCAGTTGATGCATTTTATATGTTAATGTGTAGGAGAGGAAATTGAGGAAAGAATATGGTGTGAAAAAAAAAAAAAAACGAACGGGGGAGCGAGAAGAGGTGGAAAACACGTGGAAACGGGGCAGAGAAGGATGGGAACCATGTTGGGATGAATATGGGGAAGCTGAGAGAGAAGCGTGAAGCACTGGAGTGTGCAGGAGGTATGGGGAGAAAGAGTTACGGTGGCCGTGGAAGGTGGTGGTAATCAGGGGGCAGCCATGGGTGGTCAAGCTCTGTATATGTGCGAGTGTGTGTTGGAGCCGCAGTGTGACCAGTGCCCTGTGACAGACGCATTGCTGTGCCCTCAAAGTGTGTCCGTCTGTGCACAGCTGTGTGTGTAAGCTGTATTTTTAATATGGGTGAATGGATTTTCAGATGCTTTTTCATCTCTCCTACCTATTTGCTGGGTGTCTCAACGGGTCGAGCTTCTGTACCAAGCAGTGCGCAAAGAGGCAAAGAAGTTGCATCAAGCTCCCGTCCAATTCGCAAGAAATCTGCCTCAATAATCTTTCTTTTAAAACACAATGCAGTTGTGTAAAAGGCAAAAAGAGCATGAAGAGAGTCTGTCCGCCTTCAAAGTTTGTCACATTACAACCACAAATTTTATCTGACAGATCCACAAAAATCATTGCATAATTGTAAAATTTAAAGAGGTGTTATTATATAAAATCAACTTTTATGAGTGTTCCATCAAGGACTACTGGCTATTTATTCATTCTTGTTCTGCTGGAAGTGGAACCTTTATCACAGTCTCAAAGTCTTTTCTAATCCCCAACATGAATCTCAGGTCCTCTTCAGTGCCGCATTTGTCTTTACTTTTTTTTTTTCACCAGCTTCACTGTCCCTGCTGTCAAAAGCACTCAAACAGCTTGATGCTTTCACCACCGTGTGCACCGTAAGTTTTGTGCCACACATGGCATTTTGCATTTCAGGAAAACATTTTGGGTTTTAAAATTTTTTTTTTTTTTTAAATTTCCTACATGTTTGCAGAAGAGCAATATCCTTTCATGGCTTATTTGCAAATGTAAACCCCGTTCTTGACATTCTTTCTTAGAAGCTGCATTTGTGAAACGTGCAAATAGTTGTTGTTTAAACATGCAAGTCTCTTAAGATTCCTCCGGTATATCTTGGTCCTCCTTGTTACTGTTCTAATTATTCCTGTTCGTTCAGGTGGAGGGCCACATCTGTATATGCTTGGCATATCGCTATACTCATTCCGTTTTTGAATGACAGATTGGACGGTGCTCTGTGAAGTGTCCAAAGCTTAGGGTGATGTTTTATACTCTAAGCCTGATTAAACCAACTCCACAACATTACCTCTGACCTGTTATTTCCACGGATTTTATAATCGCATTCTAATAAACCTCTTGCCTTTTACCAAACTGCAGCATTTGGGCTGAAATAAAATTATGCAAAGTTGGACTGGATTTAATAATTAGGTGAGGTCTGAAGACAGTTGTTGTCAACAGTTTCCATTTAGACGTATCAGAGTAAAGGGACCTCAAAACAAATGCAGATCACATTTTTCAGGGCACTGTAGATTAGTACAGTTCTAACCATTATATAAACATTAGGTAATTGATAAGTAAGCAAACACCACCTAAAACAAAACACCATAGCCAAATGTACTGCATTTCGAGAGCAGAGTAAAGACTATCGGAGAGAAAGTAAAAATACCACCAGCTGTTTGTACAGTGAATAAATCTGTTTACACATGCTGCATAACTGAGGGCAAAGTTTATCAACTGAGACAACTGACTTCCACAAGCTCCATTGTCTACTGCAGCTGGCCCTAAAAGGGCTCACCACAGCTGAAAGCACAGCTTTCTGTGCCAAGGCCAAAATAAAGTTCAAATTACATCATGAGGGCCCTCCCAGGGGCTTTCCGCCATGCAGATTTGTCTGTTAAATGCTTCAGATTAAGCAGGCAGCTCCTCACTTAGTCCACCTTTTTTGTGTTTGTAAAGCTCACTTGTTCTCTGTTCTGTCTTGCTTTTGTTTTTATTTACTTTTATTACTCAGTTTCTATCTAGATTTTTTATATGAGGAGAGGGCTGCATGTTTTTCCTGATCTTAACCCAATATTCCAGGCTTAAACTTTTGTGCTAAAACGTTTTATTAAAACTGTTTGACTTAATTTTCTCAAATGTGTTATAAACATTTTTTTTTTGCTTCGTGGCACAGAAAAGCAGTAAATCTTGTGACCCATTTGTTCGTCAAATGCAAATTATCAACTTAATTTTGCACGTTTGTTACTCAGCTGAAATCTCAAAGCCACATTCATGTTGGTTTTGAGCCACAGATTAATACCAAAAGTGAGATTGTCCGGTTAAATTGGGCATTGTTTGAGCTTACATTTGCAATTGATGCAATCAGAGTCGAGATGTCAATGTCAGGAAGCAGACCACCTCACATCTTTGTCTACATTATTGGTGGCAGTGGAGCTGGAAAACAGTTTTTGGCATAGAGCAGATTAGAACCAGCAGGAGTTGGAACAGAACAGTTGCAGCTGAGACTACCTCTGAAATTAACCAAAATCCAGAAAAAGAACAAGGAGAAGAAGGAAAAATACCTGCCAGATAGAGCTGGGGGAAACAGCAGGAGGGTTTCAAATTTAGGCAATCACATTACAGCAGTAACAACAGCTAACAACAATAATAGGTATTCCACAACAAACGTAGTGTTTGTCACCGCTAATAAACCATAATAACCCACGACTAAAATTACACTAAATTCTCAACATAAATTCTTCTTCTTCGTCCTTTTGTGTATGCACCTGTTCCAAATAGCTTGAGGTGTTTTATGTGAAAAAAAAAAAAAAACTTGAAATCTCACTTCATTAAAGTTTGTTAACACTTGCGTACCTTTATGTGTACAGACAGCTGAGGGCATGTAAACACATGGTATTACTTCAGATACACCACCTGCTGTCAGGATGCCTTGATGTGTGAATTGGATTCCCTTTGAGTAGAAAATATGTCAGTTTGCAGCCTCGAAAGGCGAAGTTTGGTGTTTGCTGTGAGGTCAGGATCAGTAGTCAGACAAAACACGTAGAGCAAAAATTTTAAACTCGGATTCTATCAGAAAATTATTTGTGCCAAGTTTGCTCTGCGTTCTGATTTACCCACCATGTCTCACATGAGACAAACGGACAAAATGATACTAATCAAACACTGTTCTCAATATGGATAACTATAGACTGATGTATATAAATGTATAATGCAAATGTATGTAATGAGTTTCATAATAATGACCATTAAGAAGCGGCTCAAACTCACTTGGCTCTAACATCTTACTTCTGTTATGCTAGTATCACATTTAAGTAGCTCTAGATTTAACTTATTCTCACTTTAGCTTAGCAGACATATTGATTTCAGCCATTCAAGGTTTGAGACGTGACTTGGACATGGAAAAAAAAAAATATATATATATATATATACTGGTAATGAAACTACCCTCTAGCTCAGGGGTGGCCAAGTCCAGTCCTCGAGAGCCACCATCCTGCAAGTTTCAGATGCATCCCTGCTTCAACACACCTGAATCAAATGACTGGCTCGTTATCAGGCCTCTGTAGAGCTGATCCCGGTCTGTTGGAGTAAGGATACTTCTAAAACTTGCAGGATGGTGGCTCTCGAGGACTGGACTTGGCCACCCCTGCTCTAGCTTGACAACAGCAGTCATTTAGACTCCTCGAAAACACACTTCAACAATTGTAAATGTTCCTTTTTTATTATCATATTGTAATTTAAATGTGGTCTTTTTCTAAATGTAAAGTAGTTTTTGTTCTATTACCTAATCGTTTTGTTAATACAACCAGTTTGCAATGCAAACCAAAGTAAAACTGATAAAATAACATTTTTCTGTTCCCATAAAGAAATTAAAAATGTAGAAGTCTTCTTAAAAACATTTAAAAGTAAGAAGTCAGCAGTTTATGTTTGTAGTATGCCTTTGAGTCAGTGCTGCTCATTTTGCCACCTGCCTATTCAGATTCTGCCTCAGTCATCACCCGAGGTATTCATGCCAGCTACAACAAAAAAAAACAAAAATCACTTTTCTGACATTTTGTGGGTAGCAGAGACTGAATTGCATTTAAGGCAATGCCACAATTTCTATTTCTTTATTTTGTTCTTAGGCTTCCCCCTAAAGTTTTGTGATGCAACACCACTGTCATAAAAAAACAAGCTTCTGTCAGAGCCCTGCTGATGCACAGTCCCACATGTGAATTTGTTGTCATGTTGAAGAGGCTGGCAGAGACACCACCTCAAACCACCAAGAGTCAGCTTGACAATTTCACAAAACAGAGGAGAACCCAGCGGGACTTTTAAGT